TGGCTCCCAGTGTTTCCTTTTCTGTGGGAAACAGGACTAAATGGCTCCTGAGTGTTTAAGGTTGCTGACTCCTGACTCAAATTTGCAGAATTAGGGAATTGTAGTATCTGAGAGCAAATTAGTGTAGTGTTGTGGTTAATGTAGCAATACCACTACATAGTACTTTATAGCACTATCTGAATGATTTCCAACATCAGCATATTGCCCCCAACAATCAAGGTCTTCATGGTATTGACCTTGAAAGGATGGAAAGTTGAGTCAAGCTTGAGCTGGACAGAACTGAACTCCATGCTGTGGGCAGAGTTAGCCTGCAATACGCATTCTAACCACAGTGCTATGAGATCTCTTATAATTTCTATGCAGGCATCATATATTAGAAAAAGATCAAAATGTCTTGGGTTCAAATCCATACTTTGCTATGGAGCTTGTTGAATTATTTTAGTCAGTTAATGTGCTGTGCTTGTTAAATAATGAAAAAGAAACCAGTTTCTACCAATCTTTGCCAGTAATAAACTAAAGGTGGTAACCTGATCCCTTCCAAAAGTTTTCGATGACATTAAGGACATTCTATAGTCCTTAATCATTGGCCTTGCTGATTGGGTCTGATGGGAACTGAAGTGCAAAATATTGGTTATGCAGTATGTTATCTAACTTTGTGTTAAACAAATTATTGTTATTGTTAACTTATTTGAATGAAGCTAATGATGCTAATATTTCCAATGCGTATAGAGAAGTTAACATTTATGGGCATTTATAAGCTTTAATAAAAGACTTAGAAAGATTCATAGGCAATTGAATAATGCTGGGATTCAACAACTATAAACCAATCACAGAAGTGACTGCATCAATTTTCCAACCCTTCTAATGAGAACTTGTTTAATATACCTTAAACTAGACCAGGGGTGTCAAACTCATGTTGTCACATCGTTACATGATGTATCACAACTTTTTTTCCCTTTGCTAAACTGGGCAAGGGTGTGGCCAGCTCATAATCCATCTGGCCCGTGGGCAGCGATTTTGACAGCCCTGAACTAGAGAGGTTTTTTTTTCTTATTATACTATTCTTTTAGCTCTTGTTTTATGTAGAGGCATTAGAGATTCACACTACAACCTCCTGCATGCACAAGCTTGGTTTCAGTCCAAAATTTAAATCAAGAGGAGAACTAAATGTGATTAGAATGTCAAACTATGAAGCGTGAGATTCAGCTTCAAATCCTTTTTTTAGTCATTAAATTCATTAGGCCAGCCATATGCAAGTATTCAAGCTTAACTGTCTTGTAGGATAGTTATGAGGCCCTAAACACTTTGGTAGGGAAGATAGCTAAATCTAATCATTACATTTATATAATTGACTAACAACACTTGAGTAACCTTAATCAGAAAGATTACCAGATATGCTCTGTGAAATTGACAGCTTGAGATACAGGGTAGAATGAATGGATTTTTATTTTTACTTCATTGGTTCCTAATACCATAGCACAGTGATGGTGAAACTCTTCGGCACCAAGTGCCCAAACCAAAACATGCACGTGCACCTGCGTGCGTGCACACTGGAGCTCCAGTGCACATATGTACACCAGAAAAGCAACTGGCGATGGTGCATGTGCCCACAGAGAGGTCTCTGTGTGCCACCTCTGGCATGCGTGCCATAGGTTCGCCATCGCGACCATAGCACATCAACACACTTTAAGATGTTAATAAATAGAAGATTTTTAAGGACACTGTGTTATGACAACTATTGCTTTGAGTATCTCTATTATTTTATTGCCTTTAGCACTTTACCAGTCAATGGGAGGAATTTATGGGAACAAAGGACAACATCATCCTGGTGTGGTTAACAGAAATGGATCTTCAGCTGACAAATGTGGAACATTTCTCAAAGAGTGATTTCGATGACAAAATGCGGCAGCTTAATGTAAATATTGACTTTTTTAAAAAAAATGTTTCATAACAGATATGGGGAGATGGGTTTCAGATGTCCAACTGATTATCTGAACCTGGTGCTTGTATTTGGTACCTGTATATCTATTAAGTTCATTTAAATAAAGTCCCATAAATTTAGAGAACACTATTTAAACTCCCGTTTCTTGTCCCAGCTTCTGCCAACCTAGCAGTTCGAAAGCATGTAAAAATGCAGGTACAAAAATAGGGACCACCTTTGGTGGGAAGGTAAGAGCATTCCGTGCACCTTTGGCATTTAGTCATGCCAGCCACATAACCACAGAGATGTCTTCGAACAGTGCTGGCTCTTCGGCTTTGAAACAGAGTTGAGCACCACCCCCCTAGAATTGGGAATGACTAGCACATATCTTTACCTTTATTTAAGCTGTTTGCTTTCTAAATAAAACAAATGTACATTTAGGATATCTGTAATAATAAGTTTAAGGTCTCTCTTATATCTAGAGTTGATCAATCCTTTCTCTCCACTATTCTTGACCAGTCCAGCTTAATTCTTTCTTGGTTACTGGTTACTGTACCA